TGGTTCGCTTCCAACTTTCTTTGTGACTTTTCTTCCAACTTTCACAAGTGCCACACGTGCCACACGTAGTGCATTTCACAGGGAGAAACCTGGAAAGTGTAGTCAAAATGAGCCAAACCTGGGGCAGCATCCATGCAAGCAGCAGCGAACTCTGAATCAGTGGTGACATGGGCTATTTTCAACTTGACTTCTATGACCCTGCCTCAAATAGATAGAACAGTAGATCCCCACCAACAATGCATTCGAAACCGGTTCTATCTATTTGGGGACCACTATAAAGTTTCTACAAAGCCACTGCCAGCATTCATTGGGAAAACCGCAGGAAGTCCAGGAACATGTTCCCAAGGTGTTCACATTCCAGGTGATTAGTGACTTCGAAGGCTTATGGGCGAACGAATGGTGGATCAAGATGGCTGTGACGATAAACAAATCCCACATCATAGGGTCTTAACTTGTGTACTTGATCCCAATTTACCGGTTTTTCATGGTTGTATTCACATGTGGTTGGGCGATCACGTGGCCACGATGCTAAATTTGAAGTTGTGGATTGGACAAATTCATTCCTGTAGCCCGACCCTGGTCGTAAGACTTGTGACCGCCTGGGCAATAGAGTCTTTTGAGTTGCATTGCAGTCGCCAGGAGAGAATAGCTACGCAGGGAACCTGCTGGTGCCATACCCAGCCCGAAGGACTTACTGTGCTGAATGGTACAGAGATCGAAGATTCACTGTTTACGCTGGTCTGGCTGTTGGGTCATGGCACCCCTACCCCTAGCGAACACCGTGGACATGGTTTCTTTCCCAAAATGGTGCAGGTGGATTTCATCCACTGAGTCCAAGTTGCGAAGATAACTAAGATAGTCCGGACAGCGGACGACATTCTGCGCGAAACATGCATACTTTGTGCCAATCCACATTGCTCCTAGCCCAATCATCCTCCAGGAAGAAGTGCACCTTCTTAAGATTTTTAGTATCAGCCTCCTGTGCAGAATAGCATCTACCAGGAGCCCTGTTCAAGATTGGATGATGTGAAAGAGAGCCTCGTACTTAGATTTGTCAAGGTTTTGTATCTGACGTTTCCCAGTGCTGCTCCTGACTCTGGCTTCCGGGAAATAATTAGGCTTGACTTGATTGTCTTGATGGCATGCCAGACGGATGAAGGCAACAGAAATGAACAGACTTGCTTTGCTCTTCCCTGGCTCTAAGGCTTGCAAGATCAAGTTGTATCTAGGCCTAGGCAGATTTCTAGGAACGCACAGTCAGCGTGCCACCAGGCAGGTTATACGAAGGAATCTGCCAATCCGCAACCATCGAGGTCGAAGACTTTTCAAGGCCTGGGGCCATGTTCTCTGAGGGAGCTTCTGTTCCAAAGCCCGGGGCTCTGACAAATCGGTAAATTTTTAAGACAGGAGCTCTTATCCCACGGATATTTGAGGATAAGATGCTGGTGTGCCTCAAAACGATCCGGGCCCCTTGAAAGAACAAGGTATCGGGCACCTCCAGTGCAGTCTTGCAGCCATGGACTCGCGATTTGAAGCAAGGAAAGATTTGTCAATGGTGCATTCGTAAGGGATCATGGCATAGTTTGTACCTGAGATGGTTGACTATCTCGGTTTCAGTGGTTGACTGTCAGGCCGTACGGCTAATTTTGGGTGGTGTCTCCTACAGGTTCAAGGAAGCGTCCTGAAGCACATCGCACTCCAATCCCGACCTCATGGGTTTGTATTTTTGTGAATGTAGGTTTGACATCCTGAGACTGTTCTCTTACTGTCTTTTGCTAATCTCAAACACTCCAAGAATCTTCACCCTCTCCTGGAGCACAGCAAGCTGTGCCCGCGTACTGCTCTTCTCAGGCAAAGTGCCCTTGGAGCAGAGTTTCTGCCTGGCACTTGGCCATGACTTACCCTCCTTCTGCGCGAGACATACTACATTCTTTGTTCCAATCCGCACAGGCAAACATCCTTGAGGAAAATACTGCGCCAGCTGCGTATCAGCCTGCGACGCAGAATAGTGTCTACAAGGAGCCTTCTCCAGAGGTTGAGATGGAACGATGGCAGATGGATCACAGACATTTCTGGAACTGAAATTCTTTGTACGTCATGATTCTCTGTCTTTACCACTGTGACCTTCCAAATGAATAAGTCACAAGGCAGATGCTTTGATCTTCCTGGAATAAGCGACGCATGCTTTGCTGTCCGTGGCTCCAAGCTTGCAAGACTGCGGCACAAACTTAGGAACACCTGAAGCCATGCCCACACAGTGCCACGAGACAGGGTGCACCAATCCTTGTGCAGGGCAGAGCAAATT